ATATAGTGGGCACAGAAGAAGACTGAAATTTGGCATTTTTGGCACTAGATAGGCCATAGTTTGATTAAAAAAAGAAAGTTGAGTCTGGGGCTGTATCTCAGGGGTAGAGTACATGCTTAGCATGCATGAGGCTCTGAGGTCAATCTTCAGCACTGAAAAAGGATGCTGATTCTTGATAAAGAACCATATTGTGCTAATTTAAGCTTTACTCTAACTAGGAAAAGTTAAAAAGACGGGAGAAGTCAACGTTTTTGAGATGGGAGAGATACTTAAACAGTACAACCAAAATGTCGTTTAGAATGTGACATATGTCAACACTTTTTAATCATTGGAGATTAACTCTGGAGGGCCTCTGCCCCAAGCTCCATCCCCAGCTTCTTTTATGTTTTCTTTTGAGACAGGGTCTTGCTAAGTTGCTAATCTCCCTCCCAGCTGGGCTCAGATTTGCTATCTTCCTGCTTCAGCCTCCCAGAGTGCTGGGATGACAGGCCTGTGACACCATACTTGGGTAACATTTTGGCTCCTTCTAGAAGTGGATGAAAAGAGGCTGGGAAGCAAGATCGGCAGCATTAGTTTGGTGGCTGGTGGTGGCTGGGAACCTGATGCTTTGTTTCTGAGTTGTACGCTTGAGGTTCACTGGGAAGTGAAGGCACCTGGAGCCCCTAGAAGATCAGCCTGGGTGAGAAGCAGCCCAACAGATGCTGGCTTCTTTTGGATCATCCCAGGAAATTAAGCTGTGACTCACGCAGGGAAGGATTGGTCTCCTATTTATTCCAGAGGACAACATTTCCACCAGAGTCAAAGTAACTCCCGAAAGTATGTTATTAACTCCCAGAGGGTCGCTCATGCAAAGTTCCTGAGGGAGTTCTCAGAAAATCTAACCCCTGCACTCCAGGAAAACTGACATTTCAAGCTTAGATTTCTTATCACCCTCCTGTCTGACGTGTACTAATGAAAGGGGCTGAGAGACTCCCAAAATGACACAGAGTTTTGGCAAATGTCTTTTCTTTTACTATTTAGGGATGCAAAAATATTCTGGTTTTGAAAAGTAAAAATAAAAATAATTTTTAAAGCATAGGAGCATCTCGAGGGGAGGCGAGGCCTGTTCCCAACTATGCCACAGGTTGAACAGATCCTCTTTCTGAGTTACTATTTTCAGTTACAAGAGGGAATCTGACGGGGCCTAGACACAGGAAAAACGTAAGTGTTCTTGTGGATGTCAGTGAATTCTAAGAAGTAATTTAAATTTTCTTTTGGGATACTACATGGGCAAAAGGAGATGTATCAGAAGTGGGTAGTTTCCTGAGCATATGCACATGTCATAACAAACCCCTTTGAGCTCAATGATGAAGTTCTTCTTAAGGGAGAGCAGTCCTTTTCTCACTGCCTTGGCCCTTGGTGAGATCAACTGTGAGGACACAAGTGACCCAGTGACCTGCCCTCTGCGTCAGACACACTCATTCACAGGTCCAGAGGAAAAAAACAAACATCACAAAAGTTGTGGTTGACAGGAAAGAACGAGTGAAGGGAGAGAGCACACTTTACCTATTTTCAGGGAACCTCTCTCAATGCCAGAGACACAGATGAGAGTCTGACTGGGGCCCTGGGCACAGCCCTGGCCTAAACCTGTAGGGTGAGGTGCATCTGGGTGGGAACCTTTCCATTCAAATTTTCTATATTCTCTTGGTTACTTTTAATGCTTTTCTGTCTTCATTTGTGCCAGGAAGTATTAGAACAGGAGGGTCAGGGTTGACTGGCAAAGAAAAGGAAGTGACTACAGGGCATTTCTGTGGGGGGCACAGGGAGCTTTGGAATCTATGTTTAAAACATGCCCACGTCACAATCCTGTATGCTTCTTGCCCACCAACCTTGCAGAGGCTGAGTAAACCTCATGTGATTCCATGAAAAGCCATCTCTCCTGTGTGGCATTTCTGCCGTCTAGTTGGGTTAACAGCCTTTGCCTCACAGGAGCAAAGGCCTAGAGAACACAGAGGAGCACTCTGGCCCTGTGAAGACAGTGCTCCTCTCCTCTGCTGCTCAGACTCGGAAGCAGGACCTGCCCCTGGGTTCACTCATGCCCACTCCCGAGACACGTCAGAGACACAGATGACAGCCTCAGGTTGGCTCCTTGTCCTTCAGTAAGACAGTGCCGGGCCATGACAAACTCCTGGGTCTGTCTAAGGAGCAGTCATGTTCCTAAGAAAGCGGAGATGTGTAGGGCATTAGGGGTTGTATTCTCTCCCTGTTGTCACACAAGTCTCCCAGAAGCATGGAGACACGGGAGGAGACTGGATATTTTTATCCACAAAGCACTGCCATGCCACAAAATGACTTCTTACCATTCATGGGAAATGAACCATTATAGAGTTGTGTATGCTGACTGGGGCGCTTCTGTGGTGACCCTGGAACCAGGACAGATGGTACGCACTCCATCACCTGCGTCCTGATGGACACAGCATGCCCCTGGGCCCTCTGTTGACAAGGAATACTTACAAGGCACCGGTAAAGCACTTGTTTCATGTTGATCTGTCTAGTTTCAATCAATCATTTTTGAAAGAGATAATACACTTTCTTTCATAGAGGGTGTAGTGGCAAGGATGGGGGTGATGAACAGAGTATCATTTCAGAGCAGGTGGGGGAGAGGGAAAATGGAGAAGGGGAAGAACTCAAGTTCCAAATGCACCTTTATGCACTAGATTTGCTTTTTTTCACTAAGCAGCTCACCTCTGCTTGCCAAACACTGAGATCTAGTCAGGCATTCAGTGCTTACTAGGACAAAGTGGTTAATGTGGGATCTCCCTGTTAGCATTCTGCCTCCATGCACGGAGGAGGCGGTCCTCTTACTGTCACCTTCAATCTTGGCAAATAAGAACAATCTGGGGGGCGGGCAGGGAAAAGTCCAGATAAAGGACCGAGAGAGTAAGTAGGTCACATGCTTGAATTTACGTGGGTTCCCTACCTCCTGGCCCCTGTCCTGCACGGGACACGACTCACTGTCTGCTTCTGAGAACGATCCAGATTCATCACTGGAGTTGGTTCCGTAAGACTGCTCACATTTAATTTGGGGTCGGACTTGGGTGTACATTCCATCTCCCATCAGGCCTGGCTCCTGATGTTCTGTGGCAAGGAACCTGGCTCCCTGGGAACAGGGCGAGGAGGAGAACTCACAGAGAGGGAGGCTGCAGGGTGAGCCCCCGCTCCCGTCCTCTGCATAGGAATAGGAGGAACACGAGCTGGAAGTCCTGGTCCTGGTCTCCAGCGGGGGAGAGCGAGGGCAGACTTTGATGGGCACTGGGCAGCTGGTATTGGGCCGCATCCTTCCCGCCAAGTGGTCAGCCAGCAGCCCACCGTGGGGGTAGGCCTGCGCGCCAGGGAGGGACTGGCCAGCTCCTACCCACAGCCCCTTTGGCACCGGCTCGGAGAGGTCTTTGTCCACACCGCTCACCCCAGCGTACGAATGCACGGAAGTGCCCCCTTGGTCACAAGAGCTTGAGGAGAAGATCACACTCCTCCGGTCCAGTTCTCCCTCCTGTTTACAGAGAGCCTCCAACCCAGGTGCCCTGAGGGGTGACCCCATTGTGAAGTTGGAGGTGTCCTTCTGGCCCACGGGGGGCTGTCCATAATTCCCTGTGAAAGGAGTATAGTCAGTTTTAAGGTCACCCTGAGTGATCCCCTTGTCAAAAGGGCAAGCTGAACTCCTGGCAAAGTGCTGCTGAGATGTACTGGGCAGGCCAGACAACTCTACACCTTTTGTTATACTGAACAGAGACCGTAGGCAGGAAGGTGAGGACGTGCTCCTGGATCTATCTGTGCAGGTGGCTCCTGCAGGAGTGGAGGGGGCGGGGGCGGGGCTGGGCTGTCTGCGGTCCATCTCAACATCCGCTGCTCTCTCCTTGACATCAGGCTCATCTCCAGACAGGCAGAGGGTGATGCTCTCATCCTCATTGTCTTCACTGGGTGGCTCACTTTTGATCTGCCCCATTGCAAGCCCTGGCTTAAGGCTGTTGCCAGGGCTATCTTCGTTGAATGTGCTTGCGAAACCTGAGGTACTGTGTGATGATGCGTTATAGACATTCTTGGTACATGCAAGCTGGTATTTCTTGTATCTGGGGTACTGTGTCAACGTGTCCTTTTCTGAGTTCTCCTTGGTGTCTGTGGGCATATCGGACTCAGGTAGTAAGGCTTCTTCCTTCGGCGCTGCTGGGACGGCAGTGGCCTCAAAGCTGATGGGGTCTGGAAGCATCTGGTCCCTGGGGCAAGCCATTTTGGCTGTCTCTGAATCCATCGTCTCCTCCTCTTCCTCCTCCTCCTCTCCTGCGGAGTTCTCATGGTCCTCATGGGGGCGCTGGCATGCAGTGTCCTTTCGGCACATGAACAGGCCATCCTCGCTGTTCAGGAGCTGGGTCTGCAGGAAGCTGAAGCAGGAGTCCTCCAAGTTGTGCATGCGCAGGAACTCAGCGCAGCGGATGACCTCGCGGATGTTTTCTCTGCTGAGTAACAGCTTGGCAGTGTAGGCAAACTGTAACAGCGGCCCAAAGCCCCTTGCCGTGACCTGCAAAACAAACAGGGAAATCGCCAACATTACCATCAGCATCGCTATTGTCCCAAAGCTCTCAACTGAAGCAAGATAACCAGACAGCGCTAATATCCCTGAATAAAGACTGCAAAGAGCAGTTAATCTCGTACTGGGTCAGCAAGGATTCTGCTTCCAATAATTAGTGCCTGTCTCATGCATGCCACGGCTATCCTTGATCACAGTGCAAGCAGAATTGATACTCACCAGGGTCAAGTGGCTCAACACGATGACAACGGGTTCAGTGTTTACGCTGGCACAAATACATGGAACAATGGGAAGCCTATTAATTTCCCTCCCAATCAGTCCTGTTGAGAGCTATTCTACATGAGGAGGGAGTGCTGTGACACTTCTTGCAGCTCCCTCGAGCCAAAGAAAACATTATCATTTTCTTGTCAACCACAAAACAGGCAAGATGGCCTTGTTAAGAACTCAAAGTCTATGGTGTTCCAAAAATAGTTTCTCCTCACTTTTTAACATTAAAGTCAACATTAAGAACAACTACTTTGCTCATTCATCATGGTTCTGCTTGGGATTTCCAATCATCATGTCATACCTGATGTTATAATGATACTGGCAATGATAAGAATCAAAAGCAATTTTCTTAACAAAAAATTAACTCCTGGCCCATAAAGAATAAGGGTTAAAAAGCTAAGCAAGCTGGCTGTCCTGTAAATAGTTGAATCTGCTGAGTGGCACAGGACATGGCTTATTCTTTAATTATTAGCAGCAGCTTCACTGTGCAGCTGTCTTCTTCCCTAGTAAATCTTCAGGGGCTAAAGCCTACTGTCACTTGCGACTTGTCTACTACATTTTACACAGAATAAAAATGTGACATATGTGCATAGCTTGAAGATGTGTATATGCACATACATAACTTAGACAATTAAAAATATCTTTCCTAAGATCATTTTTTTTTTCCTCAGAAGGAAATAGTTTAAACCTCCTGATGTTCAGGGCAGGCTTCTTTACCTTGTATATAATACCACACGCACTCTAGGTTCTCACAAGCACTCTTTGCTCACAGGAAGGAGAGGCAGGTCTATCAGTGATGTGTACACATCAAAGAAAAGCAGCAATTACAGGGTCCTTGCTGGACGCTATGGTAACAGAACAAATTTCTGTTGCAGCAGTGAGTGCAGAACAAGATGAAGTGGAAGGGCTTTGTGTCTGACTTCTGTGTGTATTAAGCACACTGTAGTACACAGAACCAACACTCTTACAAGGCCCTGTATCTGTTATTCAGGATTCAACTTAGACATTATCTGCTCTGGGAGCCCACTCCAATTCTTTTTTTTCCCCATAAGTTTATTGATAAACAAATAGCACTGAGAGAGTTTCAAATCAAATTGGTAGGACAGTTTCAATAATCAACACATTGCATACATTCTTCCCAGTGGTTAATTGCTGTATAAGATGTGGACATGATATGCTATTTACAAACACCATCAGAACAAATCATTCTATTCATTAAGAGAATGTAACTATATAT